GGCCTGTGGTGAGAGAGACGTGCAGTCTTGTCAAGGCTGGATCCGCCACACCAGAGGGTTTTTTGCTCGTTGTCTCAGAAGTGACAACATTGCCTGTGACGTAGATGAAACCCTCTGGCCAGGCCCAGCTCAAAGATGTGATCCTGAGGCAGAATAATCTTTCTGATGTGTTTTTCTTCTTCTTCTTCTTTTTTGATCGTAACATGGTTTTTGGTAAATTCACTATACAATAAACTTTTTTTGTTGTAACTACACGTCCTGGATGCTGTGTTCTCCTTTTTTTGATCTAGTGTCTAATGACTGAGCTGCAGTGTGTATATGACTGACTCATTTGTGTATGATCTGAAAGCATTGTTTGATTTTGAGTGCTGGTGACATGGTTTTGAAGCAATTGCTTGATTTTGACAGACGAGTCTGAGGTTTTGTAAATTTAGTTTGAGTATTTGGATTTGTGTTTAAGGTTTTGAGAAAATGAGTGGTGGTTTCAAGAAACGTGTTTTAGCAATTCAGAAAAACTGTAACACCAAACACACCAGTTACTGCATGGAGAGAATATTTGTAGAATTAAGAGCAAAATTAATGACCTCCTTTGTCCACTAGAGGGACATCAAGGCACTGGACATAAAAGGACCAAAGAGTCACCCAACTCAGATTTGTCATCTGTAATTGTTTACTACATTTACATAAAAGCAAAGTTCCACAGCAGCAGGTTTAGAGTCATCATTAAAAAAAAAAAAAACATGTCATTACATGTATGCAGTAATTATTTCATTTCATTTATTTCATTTATCTTTACACATGACTGATAGTTTTGACAAGCAATCAGGAACACATATCAGCCCTAGAGCTGAATGAAGGGAGTTTATGGGTATGCACACCTAATAAATGTACTATTAAAGTGGCTTCAAAATTTAATTTAAAAAAAGAGTTATTTCCATGAAGTTTATTTCAAAATTAAAAGTTAATGCTATAAATCAGGTTTTGATTCCCCTGTATGAGGATCTTAACATGGGGGTGTGAGAATGTAAAAACAAACCAAAAAAAAAAAAAAAACACTCACAAATGTACATTTACTCAAAGCCTTTTGTGTGAACAGATAATATGTGCATTTTCCAGGTAACTGATAACGTGAATTACCCTGAGGAGATTAGGACTGGGTTTGAGACTCACCACCCTGGTCATTAATGCTTCAAACATGGAACTATGAATCACTTTTTCAAGAAAAGATTATTGAAACTGGTGAATACATAAGGTACCAATGTTTTATGGGACTTTAACAGAAAACAAAAAGAAAAAAGTCTCAATCTGTAACCCCAGTGTGAATATCCCACACTGTTTACTACAATACGTGAAAGAAAAACTAGCTCTGCTACTACCATCTACAAATCTTAACATGTTCAGTGCTGATTTACTATCCATTTATAATCTCTGATTACACTGATACTTCTAAAAGAATTCTACACATACAAACCCCATTTACTACTTCTAGATGCAGTCATATCGCCTGCTTGCCAAGCCGTACATTTTTTAACAATAACAAAGTGGCACAACTAATGGAATGTAAAACCATGTTAACAAATGTCACATTTTAAACATTAGGTTTCTAAAACTCTAAACTTCATTGATGATGTATTCATGTTTCTAAAGCTGTAGATTTCATTGTTGATTTATTCATGTAACCTATCACACCAAGTACCAGTTACCAGCCTCCAATAAATTCTCCACTCAATCTTTTTTTGACACTACAACATTAACATGATTAACTAACAGACTTCCTTTTTTTTATATCACTTCTGTAGCCTGTTTGGAAAATACTTTGTAAGTCATTATGCATCAACTTGTTTATGTGCAATGTGGCACCAGCTAATTTGATTATGCAGCATGAGATATTTGATTGTGACTGTGGATCAATTTAAAAAAGTCATCAATACTACAGCAGTCTGGAAGAAAGAAATGTCCCACTGGGAAGAATGTTTTTGGAAAACAACTTGTCATACTTATTTGTCTTGACTTCTGAAAGATCTGGAGATATAATTTTGATTTCCACATCATGTTCATGTTCACATTCTAACTTTTAAAACATTTACACACAATTATATTGCTCCACCTTAGGTTTTTTGTGGAATCATAAAGCGCATGTATAAGAAGAAATTAATGCAAAACAGAAATTAGCAGTGTTTATATTAACTCAGTTCCAAAAGTAGAATCTTTACCCAAGCAAATGGAAAACAGGCAAGATGATCTTGACTAGCAAGTTCAAAGAATGCAAATATTACCAGGTGTGACAAACTATATTCTGCTGATCGAGGGATGGAGGTTATTTATAGCGGAAATACAAAAAAAATGCCTGTTAACAGCTCAAGCGATACCGGTGTTATAAACCCCACCAAACTAGTAATTGCAATTTTCTTAACCAAGATTTGCTTTATACCCCAGGCTAGTGGTATCCCCCTCCTGTGCAAATAGATATTTAGCTATATTCATATGCCTCTCCAGTGGAGGTCGCTACTGTCTGATATCTGCTGGTCTGAGTTGTCTCTCACCCTCGGCCAGGAAGATCTGCATGGCCCTGTAGAGCAGATGGACACCCAGTTCCCGTTTCCGTTTCACCTGCCAGTTGGACACCACGCCATAGAAATCCCCTCGCTTCTGATTGGTGAGCATCTTCAAACCTGGCAAGTGATTGTAAAATCAACTTAATTACTGACAAGCACAGAGACAAATGCAACTGCATGCAACCGTTAACAAAACAATTAAAGGACATGCTGCTGAATAGCTATAAGATAATGGCAATTGACTAGCACCAAATTTAACTACTTTCTCTGATTGTTATTATTATTATTATTATTATTATTATTAGAAACAGGCTTTGACAGAGTGATTTAGGCACCTGATACAAAACATATTATTCAAACTGGAGTTCCCTAGTGGGCTATATCGCTGTTTGCCACTTCATAGCAAGCAAGCAAGCAAAATTTATTTATATAGCACCTTCCTAAACCTAAGTTACAAGGTACTTTACAGTAAAACTGAAAAGAATAAAACCAGATAAATTGCACATACACAATAAAATAACAGCAAAAATGCAGAATCAAAAACAAATACATCAGTCAGAGATGTTGTTAAAGGCCTGTGAATACAAGTGAGTTGTAAGGAGTGATCGAAAAACAGACAGGTTAGGAGCAGATCTAATATCCCATGGTACACTATTCTACAGTATAGCTTCCGTACCGCAAAAGCTCGGTCTCCCCAATGTTTTAGTCTGGACTGGTACATCCAGGAACAACTGACAGAAATAAATGGTTTCGACCTCCTTATACTCACTAATGGCCTCGACCATGCAGGCCTCTCTTGTGTAAGCCTCCACTGGAATGACATTCTGGAAACAATGCAAAGAGATGACGCCCTGCTCAGCGTTCCACACTTGAAGGATGTGTTGCACTTTGGGGCACAGTTTCTGTCAAAGAAAAGAAATGGTCTGTGTTATATTTGGATATTTTTCATCTGATTTATTTGAATTTAAATATAGTTAACTAAGACTGCTCAGTGCATGCTGCCCTACCTTGGAGGTCTTGTCCCCTCTGTAGTACTCTAGAGCCTCGTAGAGGTGGCTGTATGGACGGGAGCGCTTTCCTTTACCCACATAAAATATAGCACGGACAAATGTCTGGAAACACTCCTGTGGAGTCATGGTATGGCTGCGAAATGGGAGGTTTTTCGTCACTCTGACAGAGGAAAAAAAGCAAAAATAAACTTAATTATGTATTCATGGCAACAGTGTTAAAGGGTGTGTGCAGTTAAAACAATAAGATTTGCTTAACACTGAAGAAACAAATTTTGACCCAATGACTTTACTGAGTTGTTTTACCTACAAGCCCACTAAGCACCAAAATAGCTAATTAACCAGTTTTGGTATCTTAGATTGAGTTCATTCTGCCTCATAAGAAGTGATGACGATGGAGTCCATTTGAAGAGGTGAGTCTGAAAAGTATATACTTAGTGTATTTTGCTTGATTTTTCAGTTGAGCCTCCTGGTGACTTTATTTAATAAGTACAAATTCACAAACCTTGCTAATATTTAGCCTAGCAATATCAACATGAACCCCTAGAACATCTAGTGTTAAATCAACATAGCTGGTGCTTTATTGTCTAAATGAAACATCACAATGATTGCCTCTCACACATTCAAATATTCATAGCATCCTGTCCTAATTATAAGCAGTGATTTGTAAAATAAAAATTATCCATCTATCCAATCCATGTCCACTTCCCTTAGAGAGGAAAACAAAACAAAAACACAAACAGCAGACCGTGGGTCCAGCAGCAGGTAGTTGAAGCTGGACTTGATGATGCCTTCCCTCCACTTTCTGTTTTGATCTGGTTGATCAAACTGCTGGCACAAAGCCTGCTCATCAGCCTGGCAATTAGGCAGCTCAAATGTCTGCAGGGCCCGACACATTTCTGGACTATAACCCAGATCTGCAGAAACAAAAAAGAGCACATGAAAATGATTTGCTGTGTCAGCGATAGAAAGCTAAGTGACAGTAAGTACACCTCACTCCTTCAGCAACTGTAATCTCATCCACCCACTAAGTGATTGAATGAAGAGTCAGGGTGAGCTTCAATGCAAATAAGGAGTTTCATTTTCATGCTTTTTCATAAAAGTGATTTTGCTATCAACTAAAGGCCACAAATATTTCACTCCTTCACAGGACAATCATTCATTAAAATGCTAACATAATTATGTACCTGGGTAAACAGTAATTCAAATAAAGAGCACAAGCATTACCTGTTTGTAGCTGGTGTAACTGCTTCTGTTGATGTTTTGACTGGGTTTTTGACTCCTGCAGCAGGTGGCAGAGCCTTTGCATGTAGGTGGGCCTGGTACGGCTACTAATAGGACCTGGACTCTGACCCAGCTCTAGAAGCTTCAGTCTCAGCTCCCTGTCAGTCAACCCTTTGGCCTCTGACAACAAACTGCCCTCAGCCTCATCATGTTCCTCTTTCTGTTGTACCATCTGGGGCTTCTGGTTCTCCTTTCCTCTGTTGCCCATTATGTCAGGCTGCATGGAGCGCCAGTCATAAAGTATGGTCTCCTCACTGCTGGTGGTACTCATGCTGGAGCTCAGGGAGGTGTTAGCTGTAGGTGGAATGTGGGTCTCAATTAACTTATGGCCCTGTTCTGTATCGGTGTAGAGGTACTCTACTGGTTCATCCATATCCTGAATGAGTGCACGTCCTCCAGGCGTGCAAGACAGGTTAGCCAGGTGCTGTTGCCTGCAGTTGCTTGACAGCCTGCTCATGCTGTATCTTGGTGTGCATCCAGTGCCTGGGGTGCAAGGAAGATCAGAGTCTTCCCTGGACCTCCTTGGAGAAAAATAACTGGAGCTGGATGAAGATGATGCAAAGTCCGGCTGAGAGCTACAGTTCTCAGTGATCCAGACATCTTCATTTTTTAGGCTCTCCTCTGTGCCTACACCAAGACCATCATTTATGTTTCCCTTTATCTCGTCCGCACTTGTCAGATCATCGGTCAGAAAATCGCTGTCCTCAGTAAGATCTCTGTCCTGGCCTCGCATAGCAAGTATAACCTCTGCAAGGTTTCTTTCATAAGCATCCACTGAAGAATCTTGGTTTTTCTCGAGTATGACTGTATCAGATACAGTCTCTGACTCAGAGGCAATGTCACTTATGCCCTTGGAAAGGATGATGGTATCTGCTTGGCTACTGCTAACACTTGAACCAACTCTCAGGGTGCTGGACTGTGTGTCCCGGTAATCCACTGGCAAGGTGTTTCCTCCTGCGTTACTTTCTGATTCAGATAGTTTTTTGAATGCATTTGGTGAACTGTAATAATCTTCACTGCTTTGACTCCTGGGTGTGTGGCGGCATGCTCGAACTGGCATAGGTAGAGACTCCTCAAACAGAGAAGAGTTGAAGAGGAAACTATCAGGCATTCTGCTTGTTCTCAGTGAACAACGACTCAACCTCTGGCGAGTCCTGCCAGTTACGAAAGGACTTGGTGTGAATGAGAGGTTGATGTTTTCCTCTAATGCACCAACTCCATCATCACATTTGATGTCTGCTACTGGCTTGTCAACACCATCTTCAGTTTTAGTATCCACAACAGGACCACTACGTGCCTCAAAAATACCATCTGAATGATTTCTTTCAGACAAGGACAGTTTTTCAAGTATATCTGGTAACTGTTCTATAGTTTTAGGTACTACATTTATCAGGGGTTCAGCCTGAACAAGTTGTAGGTTTGCATTTCGCCTAGTAAATTCAGAATCTGGAGTGTTTTTAGCAGATTCAGTCCCAACAGAAGCCTCCTCTACCGCAGGGAGCAAAATATTCATGGGGTGTATGGAAGCACTAAGAGCACTGGTGTAATGGTCGCTCTCACAGCTACTGTAATGACTGCTAGTAGTCCCACTACTACCGCTGCTGCCCCCACACAAATGTGCTGGCTGTTCAGGTAGATTTCCCCGAGTCTCTTTTAGAAGTTCACCCTCCTGCTCGCAATCACTCTCTTCCAAAGCACAGTGTCTGATGACTGTTTTCTCCATATCCTCTTCTATGCCTGTGCTACTCTTCCTGCGGAACACATAAACATGATCTGGTGATGTGACATCGATGCCCTGCTTGCATAAAACAGTGACCATGCGTTCTACATGCAAAAAGTCCGCGTATTCAGAAAGGTCAAAAGATAAGTTGCTAGCGCACTGACTGCCATCAACAGCAGACTGCTGTTTGGGAGATTCAGGATTAAAAACAGGGAAATATTCATCTACATCTCTGAAGCCCACACTCTTACAGCTCATTCGCTTGGACAAAAACTCTGGAAAAGTGTCTGATTTGGAGGGAAAGGTTCTGTCATCAGTTGAAGAAGCGTGTTTGCTTGCTTTGGATGTGAACACATCATCAGCAGTACATAAATCGTCCTCATTAAGAACTGGCATTGCAACTGCAGGTCCTATTGCAGACATGCGAGTGCTTGATAGTACGTAGGGGCCATTAGATACCCAGTTTAAGGAGGAACTGTTCCGTTCCTGGCTGTCATGCCTCTTAGTGTCCACATCACAAAGTCTGTTACATGGTATTCCTCTGCTACTTGGCCTACCATCAATAGTAGACAGGTTGAAAAATGATGAGCGCCTTGTGCTGCTCAGCGGGGCTTCATTAAAGTCACTTATCATAGACGAGTTGGAATTAAAGGTGTAGTCAGATTCAGGGTAGCTGGATACGTCCATATGATCTGAATGCACAGCTGTGGAGGAAAAAAAAAAAAGATTAGAAAACCATTAGTCTAGTCTGTGTGCACTGCCAGACCATTTGATCATCAGCCTTTTGTTTCTATTTTATTTGACCAGGTAAATATTGAATGTTACTGGCAAAATCTGGAGTAAATGAGGTACTAATGGCAGGTATTGATCAAAAAATATATGTAATGTAAAATTAAAAGGATGTAAGCAAATTAACACTGTAATGATTGTGCTGTTGCCATGATGTGACAATTTGTTGACAGCTATGTACAATATTAAACATTTGACCTTGATAAATATTAGTGTAATATATCTGCCAACACCACTGGTCAAGTACAATTTTTTTTAAAACATTTTTAGTTTTGGACTTAACCCAAGTTGGACAAAAACCTTGCACACAAGTGAATCTGTTAGAGTGACCGACTTAAAACCTTTCAAAGAGATGATCTTACAGTATTGGAATTTAGGCAAATCGTCCTCCTCTGTGTTCAGTGACATGGCCTGATACTGCTTAAGAAGCTGGGCACATTTTCGATTTTCCTGTTTCTCTGCAAGCTGCCCTGGTGTTTTCCCTTCCTGCATCAATAAAGGAGATAGCAGGAGTAAACCAAACTGAGCCAGACATTCGGAGAATTTGAAATTATCCTCAACAACAGTGAGGAAATTTCCAGTAAAACATAAAAGACAATGTTAATGTAGGCAAAAAATTAAAAAGCTTTCTATTTTAGATTATAGTAGGTCTTTACATGTCTTTTCCTATAAATTGATTTTCCATGCCCTCTGTCTTTGACCCAGTGCACTTCCCATATGTAAAATGATTCATTTTATATATATATATACATACATACATACATACATACACAAACATACACACACACACATTATCTTTGATGGTTGGGTCCCCTCCATTCATCAAGAGAATTTTAATATTTTGATAACATCCCCACAATGCAGCAATGTGAAGAGGAGTCAGGCCATCCGAAGACCTTGGGAGAAACACAACAAGACAAAGCTTGACACAACAATACATTATCAACGTGCTCAAAGAGTTTCAACGGTGTCATCTCAATTTTAACACATTTTTACCAGTAGAACAGGATACTGCAGAGAGTTTAACGCCGAAGGTCATTGCAGGCTTTGTGTATTGCAAAATATGTATTGCTCAAAACACTATACAACCTTCATATACATTTAGATGCTGCAATTTTTTAACTAATCAAAAGACATGTAAAAGTTGGGTTAGCGTTAGATTGAAATAATGATATGGAAAATTATCTAACACAGTGATATGGTGACTTTTCAATGTCAGTTTTATTTTTAAACCATACCTAATATTTGGGTCGGCTCCATGTTGAAGCAACAATTTCAAGCAGCGTGTGTTCTTCTCTGTCTCTTTCCCAACAGCCAAGTGTATAGCTGCCACCCCTTTACTACCCACCAAGTCAGGGCAGGCACCCTGTGAAAGAAGTAGCTGCACTGATCTGTAAAGGAAGAGAGGTCTGTTTGAAATATTCTGAATTGTGGCATTGAATACACAGTTACACTTTCTTTGTTTGTCTTTTTCTTTTTGTCTTTGGGCTTGGTGCTTTAGCACTGAAGAAAAATAATGGTTACTAAGACTTATTTCAACCTGAATGTGGTGCAGCACAGAGCCTGAAAAAATAATGGGTAACTGCCCAAATACCTATGGTTTGGACTGCATCTGCACCTCTAGCTGTTACAAAGGCTGCACATTACAGGGTTAACATTTAACATATGGCTATTATTATTGGTTGTTTCTGACACTTTTTCACCACTGCAGTGATGCCACTTCCTGTATGTGGTAGATATACAAAGGTATCTGTGTTTAGCTGTACTTTGTCACCAGTACTGACAAAGTTAAGTAAGTTAAGTCAAGGCAAATGATTTCTATTGCCAAAATCATGACCACGATTTTATCTCACGGGGGTTTTACAATCAGCACAACATACAACTCCCTCAGAAAGATATTGTATTTAACAGTGGTGTAAAAGATTGATTACTGAAATACTTAAAAACACAGGTATGGCAAAGAACAGATCACAGGGCATTATGTATATCTTATAACATATGTATAAGCCTTGTACCTTATGTCTGCTCCTGTCTGATAGTCTATTAGATACCACACAAAAACTGCAGAGCCTTAGATGTTTTCAAAACAATGCTGCAGTCTAACAGCTCCAACAAAGGTCACCAAACAAACACACATGACGTTTGAAGAATCTACAAATATAAAAAAAAAAAAAAACTTCTTTCGTCAGACAAACTCAAGCTACTTTATTACTGCATCTTGAAAATAACGTGAGATTAGTTAAACTCGTACAATATTGTTGCCAGTGAAGTCAAAATCTCCAGCATTCTGGTGGTAATTTTCCACCCTGTTATTGCATCTCTTTCAAAATAAGACATGTCTGGGCAAAACAAAGACATGAGGACTAGAGCATCACCTGGGTTCTCCGTTGTTCACCGCTTTGCACAGTTGAGTTTCCAGCCTTCTCGGCTTTTGAGCCATGATCACCGTTGTCCGTTTAAAAATTATCTATGAACCCGATTGACCTAAAGATCGATTAATTGATGTTATCGTTTGCTAGCCGAGCTAACTATTAGCGTCTGAGAAGCTGCAAAAGCCATTGCAGATATCGAACTACGTTTCCTGTACAACTAACCAACAATCAATTAAAACTCATCCGTTCTATTCATTAAATATTTAAACTGGAGGAGTGCTGTCAAACTCTAAAAACATTCACAAACTGTTTACCCACGTAATATTAGTGTTTTGATGAGGCTGCACGATTGTATTAGTTAAACTTCCCTCCAAGAACACAAACATTCCGTTTCCTGGCAGAGAGCGGAAGTCCCACCCACGAAAGCATTTTATTGGACAGTGCTTTAATTTAGACCAATCAGATTAGCTGAAAAGGAGGTCTACGTTTTAGTAGATAGGCTCAGAAGCAGCTTCTGTATCATTGTATAGTAGTACAGTACCACATTATGTTTGAATGAATAATGCATGGTCTCCTGCTAAAGAATGATTCTCCCTAAGTATCATAGCCTGTGGGTTTCAGTCAGATGTTACTTAATTTAAAGTTGTAAATCAGTTTCGATTTTTGTTTGTTTTGTTCATTCTCAATCTTTTATTGGCTGCATCTGCATTTAAATAATGGAGTAAAGCTCAAATATTAGTACTTTATGTTTTAGGGTACAGGAACAAATTCTATATTCATTTTTGTTAAATACTACTGATAAGATAAGGAACACATGATCACACCATAAATGTTGTGAGTTGTATTTTTATTGCATTTAATAATAATTATTATTATTTTATTATTATTGCTGCACTACTGTTAAAAGTCAAAGTTCAATGCAGTAAAAGTAAGAATTGTTTATTTATTTTATAGTTTTTCTTTACAAAAATGTAAAATACTGTAACACAATTACTCTAAGGTCAAGACAAGTTCCCGGGAAGCAGTCCTCTCAGACAGAGCACAGAAAGAGGAGAAGGAGACTCATCAGGAGGAGCAGCAGGCTTGGGTGGATAGCTCCGGCATGGTTGGGAGGAGGAAGTGTGCAGTTCTCATAGGGCTCCAGACAGGCAGAGTAAGCAATGACATGGGCGATGTAGTTCTGCTCCTGGACTCCATGGATAAGGTGTGACATGGGACCTTTGGCAAAAATGGCTACGTCCTCTATGCCGTGGGTCTCTGAATCAAGAGGGACAGTAGCCTGCTGCAGGTAATCGTTACCCGCTAAAAGACAGTGGAACAAAGGAGGATTAGGCTAGCTATATCAGGGTCTTCTGGTGCATAAACAATGACAAATTACAAAGCCACAGTTAGTACATATAGCACTGTTGTCAAAATAACAGGGAAACCTAACAATATGATGGTATCCAGTACAACTAAACAGCAATCAACTGAATATGCTCTTTAACGGCAGTATTTATTGCACAGATGTACAGTATTACTGCAGGATATTGTAAGTGATTCATCATAACATAAGTTATATTGTTTACAGTAAATTAAAGGAATGTGCCAAGTTTCTGAACAGACTGACGTTTTAGTGTCTATTAAAACAAAATTGTGCATTATGAGTGGATCATGCTGACACCAGAGTTATAGGATGATAATGTATTTTATTATAGAATACTACATATTATGCAGTGCTTGTAATATATCACTTATGTTGGCATTTAAAGAATTGTTCTGCTTTTATTTGTGTCTGACAAAAATAGCACTTATCTAAATACTGCATACTCACTGCAGACAAACTATTACATTCGTGCATTTTACACATAGGATACAATTGATACATGTGGTAAATTAAAAACAATACACTAGTTTATTGCTGCCTTTTAAAAAGAACCAACATTTGTTTGAAACTATATATGACCCAGTGGGGATGAATAGTGAACAGTGAACAGGTACTGTAGACTTTAGCAAGTACTTCCATGCCGCTACAGCAGGTATCCAGTTACACCACAAGGTGGAGATAAAACATTATTTTCTCTAGAAGTACTATCAATGTACACTCACATGAAACTGACTCATTCACATCCGGGCGGGTTCCATTCACATATCCTGGTCCATTGCCATACAGAGCAGTGGTGAAGTGCTTCTTGTCATCAGCTAATGTGCGAGACACCCCTGTAAAACACAGAACAAACTGGTATTTACAGGTTTGTTCAAACTTGGACCATCAGATGATTTTCACTTTATATAATAAAACCCCCATCGACTCAGCCTTGCCAAGGTCTAAAAGTACATTTTACCTAAAACAGGGTTTCCTCTAGCAGATTTTCCACCAAAGCTAAAGACATGGGAGTGGTCAGCAGTGACCACAGTCAGGGTGTCCAGTTCACTGGTAAGTTCAGCTGCTCGACCAATCGCCCGGTCAAACTCTACAGCCTCATAGAGAGCTCGTTTGGCCTTTCCTGCGTGGTGTCCCTGGTCAATTCTCCCACTTAAAGTCCAAAAGAAAGTCATTGACAAATTAGCATTAGCAGTATCCTGTTCTTCATTCTGAAATGTAAGTTTAATATTGATATTTAATGATAGTTTACTGTCTGAAAAAAAAACTATGGAAAACTACTTATCTTCCACAAAGAGGAAAAATCCCTTGGGGTTCTTGCTGAGAATCTTTATAGCTTTCTCCATCATTTCGGTGAGGGACGGGTCCATGGATTTATCACGGTCCAGCTCATAGCGGCAGTCTTTTGGCTCAAACAGGCCTAAATGCAGATGAAAATTTCATGCTTGAGTATTATGACCTAACAAATGTGAGCTTTTAAAATGTGGAAAGTATGCTTGCCTTGTTGCTATAAGTCACAATTCAAGATTGCATAGGAAAAATAGCATCATGCCCTCCCTATTGAGAGCCAATATATTCACCCTGAACACCTAAAGACAGCTCAGGTGGTCATTTAAGCACAAACCTTTAGGGGTTTCACTTGATAAATGACTTAAACTGCTATGTGATTTTCAGACATGTAACAGATACATTTTTTTGCCAGTGAATAAATTATGTCAACAAAGCCAGTAGCACATTGGTTCACATAAATTTCCCAATGTAGTTAACATTTACATTCATGATGGAAATGGTTTACATCTCTCAGGAAAACTGTATTAATATTATAGTGTGTATTGATACTCATTTTAAAGTGATATCCTAGTGACATCTGCTAACTTGTTAACTGAACTCTTACCCATCAGAAAATCTGTAGCTGCTGGATTGACTGCAGCCAGTTCAGCCTTGTTCCAGACATATTTAGCATTCTGTAAGCAATGAATAGAAATAAACAAAGTAACTGGAGGATTTTGTAAGCATAGGAAGATTGATGAACACACTTGAAAAATCAACCATTTACCATTTTATTCCTTCTCCACTCCTTCACAAGATCTTGTCCATCATTTCGGCTTCCTGTAATATTTGCATACTCTGGGTCTTGTGTTGTTTTGGGGAACATGTACTGACGACCTCCACCAAGAATGACCTGGATTGGGAGATATGGTGACAGTTATCAAAAATCAAGCCATAAGTCAAAGAAAATTATTTGTTGTATGGTCTTAAAAAATTTCAGCATTTATCCAGGAATTTTTTATGAGGTGACCTGACTAAAGAGGCTACAGCATGCCCAGATGCTTTGCTATTTATTGGTTTATTGTATGAGTGTTCTGATATTTTGCTAAAAAGATTCCTGTATATTAAGGCTTACATTTATCTCTGTGTTGTTAATCAGCTGATAAGCAATGTCACGGCATCTGTTACGGATAGCCTCAGGGGGGAGGTCAGAGTCGGCGTACCAGTCTCGATCGGCACTGTGAGCGTAGCTTGCACCAGGAGAGGCATGCTGCACTCGAGTTGTAGTGACAATTCCCACAGATTTTCCTAAAAACAGAGCAAAGTGTTTATAATGTAGACAGCTTTTTTACATTGTACACACTGATATGACTTTGTATATCTACCACCAAAAATGAAACAACTAAAGACAAACTAAATTATTTTCAGATCTTATTCAGTCAAGATATTATGCAGATTTCAGTCACATTAATAAAGTGTGAGTCAGTGCTGAAATATTGATACTTCCGATCCCAGTGTTTCTTGTTCTAGGATCGACTCACAAATGAAAAGATTGATATCTAAAAAGAGTAGGCTAATTTGGGGCAAATGTATATTTTATTGTCAACAGGGACATAATAGAAAGTAACTACATTATGACCAGAATGGTCTAAATAATAGCAGGTTGATAGGAACTACTTCTCCTTTCACCTGTCATAGTCATAATCAAACTATATGGCTCTGTAAATGCCTGAGCCACTGTGAATCACAATAATAAAAACTTTTAGTCTAGAGTAACAGAGCAGATGTCACATGGGGTTGCTGGGAAAAGGGATATAAACTTCAACCAAGATGGCATATCCCTGGGTATGTAGTATGGACATAGCCCCACTGCCAACAGTTCAGTATCTGGGCTGCAGACTCAACCCTTAACAGTATGTGAGCAGGGTATCAATATTTGTTGTTAATATGTGGAGACTCCTTATAGATTCCCTTTCAAACCACTAGAAAGTGAAGCTTTGTGGTCCTAAACACTGTACTTACCTGCTTTCTTGGCACGGTGCAGAACAGATGTAACTTCATTCCCATAAGTAGCACTACATTTGCTTCTTGGGGCAGCAGCAGTGACACCCAGAGTGCCGTAGTTGGCCTTCACACCACATAAGTAGGCGGTGGCTGTGCCAGCACTGTCTGGCATCTGCTGGTCGACATTGTACGTCTGCAGGGGCCATATACAATTACATTCATTAATGTGAACATTTATCATCTCATCATTTAGCAAATGATACTGACTTACACTGAGAGTAAGAGCAGAATAAAATTGCATTCTTGGACTAGATGAACATAAACATGTTCCTTAAATTCTCTCAAGCGATAATAAACTCCTGATTTTATAAACAATAAAAAGTTAAACAACTGTTGTGTTTTTCAGTTAATAAAACATGTCCATTTGTCTTTTTTTTTTGTTTGTTTTTGTTGGGTGGTCAGAGTGGGCTGACCTTAGACAGTGCCAGATGAGGGAAGGTATCCATGACCAGGCTGGTCTCCTCCCCAGATTTTCCTGCCATCTGGCCTTTGAGGATCCGCGCAGCAGTCACTGTTGTTACCCCCATACCTGAAAGCAGGTGCAATCACACCTGAGTATTAGATTATATCCACCAGGGAGGCACAGGGCTGCCACTGTGCTCTGTGAACCTCATAATGCTAAGCTGATGTGCGAGGTTAGAAGGTGCTGAAAGCAAACAGCATATTCCACATTTCTTCTCTTCTACAGACCTTCTTATAGTTCATGAAATATGCAGGGCATTTTGTCCAATAATCCTTGTCAGAGCTTGTCCTTTTCTTAGGTGTAGTTGCTCTGTTACTGTATATTTCACATTCAGATTGAAAGAAGCAGTAGCTAATTTTCTTTCTGCATCTTATATATTTGTAAAGAACTACATATAAACCATGTTATGAAATCATTATTCCTTGGCTGTGTTATTTCTCAGTAGGAAACTGAATATCTGATAAAATATGCCTTTGAAAATGTCAAAAGCGGCACAGTGGTGCAGTGGTTAGCACTCTCAACTCACAGCAAAAAGGTTCTAGGTTCGAGCCCGGGCTTATTCTGGCTTCCTTCCACAGTCCAAAGACATGCAGCTTAGGTTGCTTGGCAGCTTTAAATTGGAGTGAGTGTGTGTGGTTGTTTGTCTACATGTCAGCCCTGTGACAGACTGGCGACCTGTCCAGGGTGTACCCCGCCTCTCTCCCAGTGTCAGCTGGGAGGGAGCCCCCCCCCATTGACCCTATTCAGGAATAAGGGTAAGACTTTACTGATCCCACAATGGGGAAATTCCAGTGTTCCAGCAGCATTATGGGGCAAACAACAAAACACCACAAGAACAACAAACACCATAAGGACCTCTGAGAAGCAAATCAAAGATACCTAAAAAACAAGACAAAACATTGCACTTGAGAGAAATCTTGAAAAACAAGAATATTACTCCCACAATTAATTCCACAATGGGGAAAAACCCTGTATATCAACAGCAGTAGAGACTAAACAACAGACACCATAAGAACAATAGACACCACAAGGATCTCTGAAAAACAAATCAAGAATACCCAAAAACAAGACAATACAAACATTTCAGAGAAATCAGGAACAAGATATTGCTCCCACAATCAATCCCCCAGACAGAGCAGTCTGTGGTCAGAATGGACTCGGGGTGTATGCATTTCTGCAATTTGCATACAGTAGTTCCAAAGTTTTATTGTCCCTTGTGTGGCAATTAACATATTGGGTGAAGTTTGGGAGGGTGGCAGAGACGGGGAGGGAGGCATGGTTAAATTCCCCCGAGATATAGATAATAGATGGATGAAAATGTGAAATGTTATATATACTGTATAATGCACATTTTTCAAGTGCTTGAGCATGAAATTACTGTGAGTGGTTAGACTTTAAGGCAGAACATGTCATTCCTCTGTTGGAAGGTATTTTCAGGTATGCCAAGAACTTTACAATTTGTTTCCATAAACATGCCATTTATGAAGCAACTCACCGTTATTGATTAATCTTACACTGATAAAATCTTGGGTTTGCAGCATGTGCATGTATGTGGGTTGGGGAGGAGATTGCTGCAACCATAAACTAATAATGCATCTATAAATATGTATTTGATTCAGTGGACTTACCAAATACAAATCTGGGAAAAGATGATGCATACAGCAGTGAACATTTGACCTTTTTTGTGAGCCTGGGTGTCATGGTTAGATGTCACATCAGGAAATACCAGCTTATCTTGTTAGGTTTCTTTGCCAAATTAATTTTAGAAAATGCAGGGTTTTTTTTAACACTAAAACATAAAGTTTACTTTGCTACATTTTTTTGGTTTACATTTCCATAGCATTATTATAAAAAATAAAAAGCAGCTTTAATCAAAAGTTAGTCTGATTCTGAAGTAATTTGCATATTAAAAACTTATGTAGCAACCAATCGTCCACCAGTTTAAAGATTTTAGCATTAATGGGAGTTGCATGAACTCTTTATAGTGACTTACCTTTGGCGATCAGATCAATTGAGGACACATGAGGGAATGGTATAGACTGTAGTTTAGAATCAGTTTGTTTTGTCATACTTGGCTTTCCAAGCAGATGTGATCAGCTGATCAGGTGATCAAATGTCAACATTCATCTCCTTTTACACAAAAGCCGGTGCTTTTTGGAGTCACATAGACTGCTGTTTCTCTTTATGTTGGTGACCTACATTACAAACATGATGAGACTGAGACTAACAATTACAGGCTCCACTGGCTCCTTCTCACCTGGACAAACAAACCGAACTGAAATGGGGAAATGCTCTAGAATTCAAAGAAAAATCCACAAAACTCCTTTCTTAGACTCACCATCCCCCAGAAATAGGATGATGTTCTTGGCTTGGTGAACATTAGGCTGGACATTCAGGGCAGTATGAAGAGCCTGACTGGCTTTGTTGTTCCAGTAGCTGGCATGCAACTCTTCCTCTATAAGAAAGGAAAAGATAATATGACAGTTGCCTATTTCCACATCTGAAAGCAATTCTTAGTTTCTGCAGATACAGCACCATTAACAGATCCTTACCTGAAAAACACAAAGTCCACTGCACTGAAATTAAAACAAGTAATCCAGTAAATATTATCTTATGCTTGCTGGCCATGGTGTTGATTGTATGTGAATAAAGAAGCAGCATGGAGTACAAGAGAGCTTTTCTGCACACTAAGGTCCCTTTATATCTCCAGTCAAGGAGCAAAGGGCACATGGGCCTCATAACATGTGCAAACACACACACACAGACACTGCTGTGTTTTCATTCCTTGTGGGGACTTTGCATTGACTTACATTCATTTCCTGTAGACCTATCCTAACCTTAACCATAACCACTACTTGCCTAACACCTAACCCTGATTGTATCCTTAACCTAACACCTAACCTTAAACCATGTTGCCACCCAAAAATTCAGTGATTTCCTCATGGGGACCAGCCTCTGGTCCCCACAAGGATGGCCAAGTCCCCACAAAATGAGTTTGTTAACAGATTTTGGTCCCCATAATGTTAGTAAAACAAAGGCACACATACACATGTTGTGTTTTTATCACTTCTGACCTTAACCTCACCATAACGTTATTTAGGGCACCTTAAATACAGCATAAGAGGCAGTAAGTTGCACAGTGGTACCAAAAATATGTAAAGTAGGTTTTAACTTCCCTTTGTAGTAATTGTATATGCAAGGTGGCATGTGACAGTTTAGACATTAACATTACTGTGTTACACTCTACCTGACATTCAGTGTGGAGGGAAATTTTTTGGGGAAAACTTCATTTCTGGTGTAAACCAATACTGTAGATGATTTGGACTTCCATGCAAATGGAGGAACATGTAAAGAGGAACAGCTTCTTTAGCTAAACAGTTCACTTAACAACTCATTTTAGCTGATGTTGCATTGCTCAGTCCCTTTTTGCATTATAGTCAAAGCAGACCACTGAGCAGACCACTGAGAGATGTGTTATTCTTGCTACACTTGATATATTCGTTATTTTGAAGTAGTGTATGTACTAGATACATCATGTGTAATGACACAAAAATAACGAACCTATTATTTGTTTAGTTTTATTAGTTCCGGGACAGCTGAAATGCAGACCCAGCCATAACACAAATCACCACCTGGTGAAAGGAGTACCAGCTTTAGTCACAGGTGCTTTATAGCCACTATTCATCCCTATTTAATGATGATGATTACACAGAATCATAAAGTATGGTGTTACCTGCAGTAAGTGAATAACGATCAAAATAACAAGAGACTCACCAAGAACAAGAGATTTTTTTTAATCCTTATTTAAGTAACATTTGCAAAAACAATATAAAAATACAGTGACAATATTTGCTTACAACATACATTAATGTATAATCCAAATACTGTACATTCGGACAGAAAATAGATTTACTACTTGGAACCAATGAGGTCAAGATACTTAAAAAAAGCTAAATTTCCTCTCCTAAAAGAGGTACAGCACCTTTATGAGTTCTTCTAAGGTCTATTGCTATTGCAGCTTGGTGTAGCACGATGGCTCACTCTTTAGGTTTCTGTGAATGGAATGTCTGAACACTGAGTCCTCAGCCTGCTTGTTTGTTTCAAGTCATTCTGGGTAAAACCTCTGATTCATGTTTAAATAGTCAAATACAGCTCCTTGAAAATGGTGTGTACTGTAGCTCTGTGTGATGAGTGCTGGCCAAAATATATTTAGAAGAAAACTTAAAAAAAAAAAAAAATCAAACTATGCAACTGAAGAACTAGTGAGTTAGTATCATTAGTAGTCATGTTGCCAGTGCAGGTTTGAACTTTAGTAGTAGAAAATCCTTATTCTACTGACTCCACAGTGGCAACAGTTGCACAAATGTTTCTAAAAGAATGACTTGTTTATGAATTTATTTTTCTGTTTGCATATTTGCTTTTGTTCTAACCTGCAATGCCTACCTGTTTGTGTTTGAAAAAGAGCTACAACATGTATGTTTAAGCCTGTGTTTTCCATGCATTCTAGGTAACCAGCTTATGGGAATGTGTACTGTGTGATCACAATGTATGTGGGTATATTTCTATTAGCAAATACAGTACTGTATATCCCTGCATTCTGGCTTACCAGCCTGTGTTCATACAGTAAATGTTTGTGCATGTACTCTATGATTGTTCAGTACATTAAAGCTACAGTATGTAACTTAAGGTAGCACTAGCATGAAACTCCAAATCAATCCACTCTGCTCTGCCCAGCACTCACTCTCCATGCTCCATTATGCTCTCCTATAGTCTGCTACGCTCAGCCGCGCTCTACCCAGCTTTTCAGATATTTGTCAAAATTAAATTACAATAAATGAGAATGCAACAAAACTTACTGATCATGCAGTAATAATTGAAAAGCTGCTGTCTCTGCACAGCTGCGAGTGCTGCTCAATATGAGTCTGGGTCACGGGAGGTTTTGATAGCACCTCTCCACATTAAGACAAGTTTTGAAACATTTCTACAACAAAAATATTTGAAAAATGTTACACACTGTAGCTTTAAGCTTCTGTATTGCTGCATGCATACACTGTACTTGTTTGAATGCATGTGGTGATGTGTGTTTGGGGGTCATCTGAAGAACCAGAAGAGGCCAAGAAGGCCAAACAGGAAGCTTGATGGTGTTTTCACAATCCCAGTTGAGGTCTGGTTGTAGGGGAGAGGAGGACAATTTATGTAAGGCTCCAAACAGGCAGCATAGGCCATGACATGAGCCACATAGTTCTGCTCTTTCACTCCATGGAACAGGTGAGCCATTGGGCCTTTGGCATAGATGGCCACATCTTCTCCACCATGTGTCTCAGCATCAAGAGGGACAGCAGCCTGCTGCATGTACTCTTCATCATCTGGAGAGAAACAAACAAAATGTGCAATGTAACCAAACACTGTTTTAGGCACCTCTCTGCTGGATCATCAACTGTAAATACACAGTATATACTTCTACAAACCATGTCATCATAAGTTACTCATGATGTCACTCTGGATCAACTGCGGTTGTGTCACTTGTAGATTATTTACTGACACATTATAAATACCACTGTTATCTCACAGCACAAGATCACACACATGAAAGCATACTTTACTGAAGCACTGACTATCTTGTCTTTGCCTCTTAGCTTTGCTTTCAGAAGAGACTGCACTGGACCTCCTTTGTTAGTTTGTTACTCCAGAGAGCACCTATGGATAGGTTTAAAATGACATTCGCATCATAGATATTTTTATGGCTGTTTTTCCCATAAAACTTGCTTTGCAGATCTTCTGTAATTTACCAAATGAAACTTAATTACAACATTTTAAAATCCAGAAGGTAATTTAAGTCTTTTTGATAAATCCAACATACAATCCTAGAAAACACGTGCTAAAGTGCTCTTGAAGTTATTATGTAAAAAGACTCTAGTCCTTAAGTGCGTTCTAGGTAAACAATCTTTTGCACTATTTTGGTTAGATTGGTGCAAAAATCTGGTGGGAACCTTTGATTCATTTGGATGCTTGAACTTCTACAACAGTGTTTTGGTCTCATATTTATCAGACTATTGACCCTAGCTTTTGCAGTACTACTTATTTCTCTAGAAGGATACCTTTAAAGTTTTAGAAAAGACAAAATTGAGGGTTTTAAAAAGGTAATTCATTCTCAGACAGTATTTCATCCTTCAAGTATAAACACTCACGCAATGATTAAAGCAAATGGTGCAGAACAAAAGGAGGAGGACCTGGATCACTGCTGTCAAGCATTCCACACACACACACACACACACACACACACAAAAATTGAAATAACATTTACATTTAAGACCTGTGTGACAAAGAGAATTAGAGAAAGCACAGTGAGCCCCATAAACATCATGTTTCCTTTTTGCTTTCCAGAGTAAAACACAAGCATGAGTCAGCTGTAACCACATCAGTTCAGGCTGTCTGTACACACACCAGTACAGACAAGTGCTGCATCTGTAAGACATTAGTTTATACTTACAGTAATCTACCATTGTGATGTTCCCTCTGGTTCCATTTATATGAACATAACCGGGGCCATTGGCATACAGGATGCTGGTGAAAGGCAATTTGTCCTCAGCTTTCTTTGGTGCCAGACCTAAATGACAACAAATGGCAGTGAAGGTATGTAAAAATAGAGTAAACAGCACCTTTTCAAATAGAGGCAAAAAGAGCACATAGGGTAACATGTACCTTGTAAGACAAAAAAACATTCAAATAACATAACCACAATTTTAAATATTATATAATTACTTTCAAACTTCTTAACTTGTAATAATTTTGGTATGATTTCAATTCAATATAAATCCACTTTGTCATTCTTTGTTTTTTCTCCATCGGTGCTTTGTAAACTTCATATTTCTGAGAATGACTTCCATGTAAATTTTAATCTGGCCAACATTTAAGGCTTACCAAAGATGGGGTTTCCTCGAGGTGTGTTACCGCCAAATGTGAAGACATGCGAGTGGTCAGCAGTAACCACAGTCAGTGTGTCGAATTCTCTGGTTAGCTCAGCAGCACGCTGAATGGCTCGGTCGAACATCACAGCTTCTGTCAGGGCCAGTTTGGCAATGCCATCATGGTGACCATGATCAATTCTGCCTCTTAAAGAACACCCAAAAACAAGTGGATTAGACCGAACCCAGAACATTCAATCTTGACACAATATCACTCAGTTAATTTTAGCTGTAGCTCAAAGAAAAATGGATACAACAGTAATTCTGACTGTTAAAAGTGTTTTGTGTTTAAGGCTCATGCTACATTTTGTTTTTGCTTTTCACTCTTCAACAGTAGGTGTCTGGTGCTGTAAAGTAATATATCATAACATCAACATTTTTCAGAACTTTTGCACTGACTGCCACGCATTCCTTAAAATAAATTTTACATCAGTGTTTTAAAACTAAATTTAAGGTCCTAAACCTTTCAAAACATTACTCAAGGTATAAATCATCATACCCCTATCTTGACCATTATTCTTCATGATGGCGACAGTGACACGGTTGATGGAATTTTAATTTAGAAGACTGTTCATGTGGTACTCATCTTCCACAAACAGGAAGTATCCTCTGGGGTTCTTGCTGAGGATTTGTATGGCCTTCTCAGTCATCTCCACAATGGATGGGTCTCGTGTACTGTTCCGGAAAACCTCAAATCTCATGTCCTTTGGCTCAAACAGACCTGGAACCCCCCACCCCCCACCACCCCAGCAAAGGAAAACATTTGAAAATGTTCACGTGTGAAAAGTAGCACAGCAGCAGAGAGGAATTCTATTCCATCTAAGTGGGCATAGTTAAACTATAGAATAACAGATCAACATGAAAAAGTACAAGAGTAAGAAGAAAACCATTATAAACTACACATATTTACCTGTTAACTAGCTACAAAGCCTTGCTAGCATTTTTAGATCAAGAATGTTGCCATAAATCAGTTACTAATTACTGGGTTTTGTATTTTTATTTATATTTTAAAAAGCTGATAATAGTATTAAGACATTCAGCACTTTCAGACAAGCTATCTGATCGATTGAAAACATGCTTGAATTCTGCTAACAATTTTGAAGACCTAACTGCTGACTTTTGGAAAAGCTTACTCTCTCTTCCTGTGCTGTTATATTTTAGATATAAGAACACATTTAAATCCAAGAAACATTTTTTAACACTCGGGTGAAGAGAGGGGCGGAGCTGTCAACTGATCACCACCTGGTGGTGAGCTGGATCCGATGGCGGGGGAGGAAGCTGGACAGACTCGGCAGACCCAAACCTATGGTGAGGGTCTGTTGGGAACGTTTAGCAGAATCCCCTGTCAGCGAGATCTTCAACTCCCGCCTCCGGCAGAGCTTTGACCAGATCCCGGGG